ACTGTGAGATGGCAACCCCCTCCCTCATTTGATGCCCAGTCTTCCTGCTGGAGGTGGGCTCTATAACTTCCCTTTTCCTACTGTCCTGATATCCTGATATCTTCTTCAGTTTCTTTCTTCAGAGATGTGAAGTTCTTCTCATGCAAGTTTTTCACTTGTTTGGTTAGAGTTACACCAAAATGTTTTACATTATTTGTGACTATTGTAAAGGATGTTGTTTCCCTAATTTCTTTCTTGGACCGCTTATCTTTTATATAATGCAAGACTACTTTTTGTTTGTTTGTTTTTAGTTAAATCTGTATTCAGCTATGTTGATGAAGATGTTTTTCACATGTAGGAGTTCCTGGTAGAATTTTTGGGTCACTTATATGAACTATCATACCATACTTTGACTTCTTCCTTTCAAATGTGTATCCCCTTGATCTCCATTAGTTGTCTTACTTATAGATAAAACTTCAAGTACTATGTTGAGTAGATATAGAGAGAGTGGGCAGCCTTGTACCTGATTTAAGTGGAGTTGTTTTCAGTTTCTCTCCATTTCATTTGAGGCTGGCTCTAGGCTTGCTGTATATGCCTTTATTATGTTTAGGTATGCATCTTGTATCCCTGATCTCGCTAAGACTTTTAATGGAGTGTTGGATTGTGTCAAAGGCCTTTTCAGAATATAACGAGATGGGTATCTTTTTTTAGATTGTTTATATAGTGGATTACAATGACAGATTTTCATATGTTGAACTATCCCTGCATCTCTTGGATGAACCTATTGATCACGGTGCGTGATGTTTTTGATGTGCCCTTGGATGCAGTTTTCAAGCATCTTGTTGAGTACTTTTGAGTACTTTTGCATCAGGTTCATGAGACAAATTTGTCTGAAATTTTCTTTCTCTATTAAGTATGTGGTTTAGATATCAGAGTGACTATGGGCTCATAAAATGAATTTGGCAATGTTCCTTCTCTTTCCATTTTGTAGAATAATTTGAGGAATATTGGTATTAGCTCTTTTGTGAAAGTCTGGTAGAATTCTGCACTAAACCTACCTGTTCCTGGGCTCTTATTGGATGAGAGAATTTTAATGACTGCTTCTGTTTCTTTAGGGGTTATAGCTGTAGTTAAGTTGTTTAATTGTGGTAAGTGATATCTGTCAAGAACAGATAGATGGCCCATTTCTTTCAGATTTTACAACCTTGTGGAGTACAGATTTTTGAAGTAAGACTGGGAGATTCTTTGGATTTCCTCAGTGTCTGTTGTTATGTCCTCTTTTCAATTCTAATTTTATAATTTAGATAATCTCTCTCTGACATTTAGTTAGGCTGAAAAAGGATTGGTCTATCTTTGTTTATTTTCTTAAAAAGCCAATTCATTCTTTCATTGATGTTTTTTTGCATTGTTCTCTCTTTTTATTTTATTGATTTCAGCACTGAGTTTGATTATTTCCTAACATCTACTTGACATGAGTATATTTGTGGTTCTTAGTTCTAGAGCTTTCAGGTGTGCCTTTGAGTTGCTAGTTTGAGATGTCACTAATTTTTTTATGAAGGTACTTAGTGTTATGAACTTTCCTCTTAGAACTGCTTTCATTTTGTCCCATAACTTTGAGTATGTTATGCATTCATTTTCATTGAATTCTATGAAGTCTTTACTTTCTTTAATTATTGTCTTTATTTAGTAGAAAGTCTTTACTTTCTTTATTTATTGACTTTATTTAGTCATTTAGTAGAAAGTTGTTCAGTTTCTATGAGTTGTAGATTTTCTCTTGTTTCTGTTGTTTCTAAAGTCTGACTTTAATCCATGATGGTCTATTTGGATACAGGGGGTTATTTCAAATTTCTTGTATCTTTTGAGACTTGTTTTGTGACTCAGTATATTGTCATTTAGGAGATGCTGAGAAGAAGGAATATTCTTTTGTGTTTGGGTGAAGTGTTCTGTAGATATCTCTTAGGTCCATTTGAGTCACAATTCATTTAGTTCCATTATTTTTTTCTAGTGTATTTATAGGGTGGATTTGTGAATAGATATTGTTTAATTTTTTGTGGAATATCTTGTTTTCTCTAACTATGATTATTGAAACTTCTGCTTGATATAGTAATCTGGGCTGGCAACTGTGGTCTTTATAGTCTGCAAGACAACTGCCCAGGCCCTTCTAGCTTTTAGAGTCTCTCTTGAAATGTTGAGTGTAATTCTAACAAGTCTGCTTTTATATGTTCCATGGCCTTTTTATTTTGCAACTTTTAATTTTCTTTATTCTGTACATTTACTGTTTTGATTATTTATGTGGCAGAGGGTGCTTTCTTTTCTGGTCCAACTTATTTGGTGTTCTGTAAGCTTCTTGTGCATTTATAAGAATCCTTTTCTGTAGGTTCACAAATTTTTTTCTATGATGATTTGTTGAAAATATTTTCTAGTCTTTTGAGCTCAGAATCTTCTTCTTCTATTCATAATATTCTTAGGTTTGATTTTTTCCTAGTGTCTCAGATTTCCTGGATGTTTTGTCAGGAACTTTTTAGATTTAACATTTTCTTTGTCTAATATATCAATTTCTTCTATCAAATCTTTTATTCCTGAGGATCTCTCTTTCATCTCTTACATTCTGTTGGTGATGCTTGTGTCTGTAGTTTCTGTTCTCTTAACTAGCTTTTGCATCTACAGGATTCTATCAGTTTATGTTTTCTTTATTGCTTCTATTTTCATTTTCAGGTATTGAAAAGTTTTATTGTTTTTTCACCTGTTTGTGATTTTTCTGGATTTATTTAAGGGATTTTTTTCATTTCCTCTTTAAAAGATTCTATCATATTCCTACAGTTAGATTTAAGGTCATTTCCTGTGCTTCATCTCTGTTGAAATATGTAGGGCTTGAGGTAGTAGGATAGTTGGGTTCTGGAGATGCCGTATTGCTCTGGCTCTTGTTGATTGTATTCTTACACTGGCCTCTAGTCATTTGGGTTTGGGGTTTTAATAGGTTTAGGTGCTGACTTCTCAGTTTATCTTTGTTCAATGGATGTTTTTGCATGTTTTTACCTCCTTGGTTTGTGTTTCTTCTCTGGTCTTCTGGACTGAGTGAAGTAGGGTTCTGGTGATGAACAAGTCTTTGGGTCCAGTAGGGTACTTCTGCTTCATTTTTTGTGACCTGTATGACCCCTGTGGTTTTGGGTGCCAATGTTGCTTCTAGGGTTCCAAGTACTGAGTAATCTCTGGGGTTCTGGGTACCTGCTTGGTCTCTGGGCTTCCTAGTACTTTTTGGCCTCCAGTAAAGCAGAAGTCTTCTGCCAAAGTTGTGGGCCACAATATGGATCCCAGGTGTTATGGTACAGTTTAACACTGTTGGATATGCTTTAAGGGGAGTTTACAGGCAGAGCAAAGTGTCCTACCTTGGAGTTCCTAGTGTCTGGGAAAGCAGCTGGAGTTGTGGAATGGAATATGGAGTCCAGGGGATGAGTACAGTGTGGACATGTTGATCTGTCTCTAAGGAGAGGTAGAGGCCAGTGGGTGGTGTTTTACATGAGGTCTCTACTGCCTACATCTGGGAAAGCTTGTGAACCAGAATATGTAGCCGAGGGAAGGAGTAAAATTTGGGGCTGTTACCACCCAGTTCATCTTTTAATCGGTATGCAGATATTTCCATAATTTGAACCATTTTTTTTGGAGGTTGAGGATGAAGCCTAGTGATAGCTAGTCTACCACTGAACTTAATTCCCACCCCAACTTAAACCATTTTTCAGTTTGTGTTTCAGCTGAGCCATCTATTTCATCTCTAAGCCACCATGAGCAGCAAGAAGCGCAAATCACAGAAGGTCCCATTTAGTACAAGGAAAAATAAAAAAATCAACGACTATTTCTCTCAGGTATGTCTATAAATGTTTCTAGTAGGGTATACTAACAGTCGTCTTAGCCACAATGGGCCCTAGGTCACATAGGATCTATTGCCAAGAAACTGCCTCATTATTGATTGGGATAATGACACACTCTAGATCTTTCTCATCCACTTTATACAGTTTAGTGAATGGCATCAAAGATAGGGAATTGTATTACAGCTTACAACCCTATCAAATTAATGTTTAATAAAAAATTACCTATTGAAACCAAGTCTAAAACATTAGAAAAACTGATTAAGTGTAGTATGTCATACCAACCTGTGAAACAAATAAAATTAATACTGTTTAATAGCATCAAAACATTGTATGATTGACTTCTTCTGTCATAATAACCTATATTTGTTTAGTTCTTTCCAGTTTACAAAACTGTACATTGTATATTTATTCTTACCATGAACTTTATAGGCAAGTGAGGAAGGTTTTGGTTTCAATTTGTTTATGCAGGAGAAAGAGTGAGTGGAGTTGCATGGGCCTGTGATGAAGACTTGGGCGAGTTTACCGAGATATTCAGAGCCCTCTACTCTCAGGCTCTGTAATGACAAATGATTGTGTCCTCTGAGACTAACATGTTCCTTTATTACATCAAGACAGCTAAGAAGTGTCAGGCATTTGAGGTGAAATGTCAAAGCCTTTTATTTGTTTCTTTGTGTCCAGGTTTTGGAAGGCAAGACATCCAAATAGCTAGAAGATCCATGACCAGCTGATATTTGTTCATTTCTGTCCTACTCCACAATGGAAGCTTGAGGAACACATGTGATCTCTCTTTCCCTTTCAAATGTATAATCCCAGCATTTCCAGGCAGAGACTAGAAGATTTTGAACTTGAGGCTAGAGTGAACTGTATAATACCTCAAAAAGGGAAGGAAACATCAAAAAAAGCCTATACCTGTCCAGGAATATTTAAATATATGGAGGTATATTACAGTATTACCATGTGTGCAAAAAGGATATTTCTGATCAAATCTAGATTACAGAAAAAGTCTGACCAAATATAAACTGCAGAGATGCATTTTGAGAGACTCTATGCCTGGATAGAATAGATTTATATTGCTTTGCATTCTTTTTATGTTTAATTGAGAATGTTGGTGTCATTACAAATGATGACAGGCTTAATTTTTAACCAAGCTCCAACATTGCTACTCCCATTACCAGTGAGTGACTTTGCTGGTTTCTCATGATGAATATGACTTGGAGCTAATGAGTCTTTCAGGCAAACTAAGACAATTGCTGCCTTCGTTCTTTTTTCTGTCATTGTGATAAAAATAACTAGACAAAACCAAATTGAAATAGGAAGGGTTTGTTTGCCTCAAGCAAGACCTTGAGAGAGTTAGTTGTCTTGCATCTGTAGTCAATAGTAGAGAACAATGAACGAATGCCCATTAGCAACTTAAACAGTCCAGGATCCAATCTAAAGAATGTTGCCAACATGTTTCTAGGCTAGTTTTTACCAGGTTTGATGAAGAAACACCCCATAGATGTTCCCAGAGACCCATATTCCCAGGTAATTTGAAATGTTAAGAGTTTTCATTGAGACTTTCCTATTTCTGGAATTTGACTTATGACCTCCCATTTTCCTCTTTTTTGGTTCTTCACATAAAGTCTTATAAAAATAGGAGATGATGAAAAATTCCTAAAAAATGTGTAGTCCAATACAAAAAGACATGAGTGTATTGGTATCTATGTATATAGGATGTGACAAACATATTTCATGTGCTTATATTAATTTATAGGGAATTTATATAATAAAGAAAATAGTTTGCATGTGTTTTATGATACATGCTGCGTGAATCAGTATTAAGGAGATATGAAAACTGTGAGTTTGAAGACAAACTGGGATGCATAGTGAATTCCATGGAAGTATTAATTGCATAGAAAGATTCTGTTTCACAAATTATTAAATAAAACACAGATTATTAAGCACCTGTTGCTATTGAGGAGGAACTAGGTTTGATTTCTATCATCTGCATGGTGGTTCATAAACACTAGTAACTCCAGTTCAAGGAGATACAATGCCTTCTTTAGACCTCAGTGGGCACCAGGCATGCCAATGGAACGCAAACACTTGTAGGTAAAATATTCATATACATAAAATGAATAAATCTTAAAAGCAAATTAATGGTAAATAGTTTAGTAAAATGTTATTGTAACACATCTTATGCTTGGATAAGATAGAATGTATATTAAAGATCATAAAAATATCTTGACATGCCATACAGGGAAGCTGGTAGACCTTTAAGTATCTGGATAACACTTGTGCCTGCACTCCTATTTGTTTAGAAAAATGCACCATGTGTAACAAAAGGAGCTTTTCTCTCTGATTTGATAATAAGTTGAAATTGTATTTTGGATCCAAAGATGAACTTTGATTTAATTCTACTTATTGGTCTTTTGACATTGGTACTGAATTTTCCATATGAATTGTGTGTTGACACTAAAAACAGACACAGGACTAGAGTTGTCAGAGTTATAAATATCTACCATTTATTTTTAGGTCCCCAAAGAAGAGCAGAATGATCCCAGTATTTCTCAAGTAAAAGTGGACTCTAAAAAAATGTCAGTGGATAAAACCGGGCACCAAAAACGACTTTCACCTCGGAAAATTCGACAAGACCAGATTTCTCCCCTAAATAAGACAATTAAATTCACCTTGGATGTGAACTCTAGGAAACACAAAAACATGAAATATACGGTCACATATAGGGAGACAAGTAGTTTGTATGCAGCACTTAACACTCTCGATGCTGCCAAAGAAGAGATAGAAAGTCAAAAGGGCAAAGAAATGCTGGTGTGTGGCAGAGAAGGAATTGAAGGGTACATAAACCCTGGCATGCCCCTCTGCTGTTTTCCAGAAAACAGCCACATAGTCATTAAATTTTGTCAGTGTAAACGTAAGACAGAAGAAACTAAACGATTTGAACCACAAGACCAAGCATCTACCAATTATGTCCGATTTTACATTCATGCAATTGGGAGAAAGAAGAAAAAGATTCTGAAGTGTGGGGAACTTCATAAAGAGGGGAACAAACTCTGTGTCTATGGCTTCAAAGGAGAGACCATCAGAGACACTCTGAGGAAGGATGGTAGGTTTTGTTCTTTCATAGAGAATGACCATTGGAAACTCATTTATAACCTGGACACCATCATAGAAAACACTCAGCCAGTTGATGAGTTAGAGGGCAAGCTTTTTCAGGTTGCAGCTGAGCTACCAAAGAACTGTAGGGTAGTTTCTGTCACTCAGAATTCTGAGTTAGAGAACAGAAACTTCCGTAAGCTAGAAGACTACATTGTGAATGAGTACCCTGCATTGAAAACAGAAGGAGAAAACCTCAGACGATACATCAAGGAAGAAAGTGAAAAAAGAAAGAAGAAAGTTTCCTTATTCAAAGTGCATAAGGAACACTTTGGGAAAATGAAAAACAATTCTACTCCGGTGAAAGTGCTCAAACATCTTTTGAGGGTCAGTGACTCAGTTGGGTTCCTGTGGTGGAACAACAATGGAAAGGAGGGCTGTGCCACCTGCTTTGTTTTTAAAGGATTGTATATTTTGACTTGTCGGCATGTGATAACTGACATTGTGGGTGAAGGCGTAGATCTAAGTAAGTGGGCAAGCATAATTAGTCAGTGTGTAAAGGTGACCTTTGATTATGAAGAGTTCCCATTAATAGAAGACAAGTTTTTTGATGTTAAACCTTGGTTTGAGATATCTGATGAAAACCTTGACTACGCTGTCCTGGAACTGAAGAAAAACGGACAAGAAGTACCTGCTGGAGTGTATAATGGAATAGGACCTGTGCCACATAATGGGTTGATTTATATCATTGGCCATCCAGAGGGAGAAAAGAAGTCTATTGATGGCTGTACAGTGGTCCCTCAAGATGATAGAGGAAGAAAATGTCAGGAAAATTTTCAAGAAAGAGAAGAGGCAGGTTACTGTTTTTCTATGACTTTTATCCATATGCACACACAGAGAAGCTTCCAGGAAATGCTTCACAACCTTGATGTGGTTACTTATGACACCACTTTTTTTGGTGGGTCTTCTGGATCTCCAGTGTTTGATTCTAATGGTTCATTGGTGGCCATGCATGCTGCTGGCATCACTTGTGCATACCAGAGTGGAGTTTCTAGTATCATTGAGTTTGGTTCTACTATGAAATCCATTATTGATAATATTAAGCAAAATAAACAGTGGTTTAATAAAATTTTTTTTAATGATCAAAATGCAGAAATGCCGAGCACAGATTCCTGAGGACTGGAAAGGGCTTAACCTATTTTACAACTTTAAGGGAATTGCCTATGGTGTTTTTCTGCAGAAAATAATGTTTTATGAACTTTCACAATGATTAATTTCTCCCAATAACGGTAGTTCTAGATTATGTCTTATGTTTCAGGCATTTTATGGTTTATTAAAACAAACAAAAAAATAAAACCATCAGCTGAACTATTTATGTAAGATAACATGAAAAAGAAGATTAAGTACTAATGTGGTCTCAGAGATCCTAGTAACAGGAGATGCTAAGATGTGAAAAAGCTCAGACCATAGAAACTAAAGTTGTGGACCAAAAGATTTTGGGGAAAGAAGCCTACCAAGATCCTGGAAACTTGAACCAATTTCAAACTCACTCATTTGGTTCTACCTATATCAATAAGAACTTACATACAGAAGACCAGAGGACTTAAATTATTTGAGAGAAAGTAGAAGGAGTAGATGAGGCGCTTTGGGAAGGTTGCTGAGAGATCCCACAGTTGCTTCAATTCTTCCCTCTGTCAGAACTACGTTCTGTGTTAGAGCTAACATGATCCTAATCCACAACTTCCATCATTTTCCAAACATCTCCTAGTGCTACTGTGAGATATTTTGTGTCCCCTGCCTAATGTATTTTTCCCAAAGCAAATACAGGTGAATCACCTTTAAAAAAACAGTGTAATATCTGTAGTTGGTTTTGAAATATAAGATGAAAGAAATTATTTGTATGGCATTCCCATTGCTTTAGTCCAAATACTCATTTTCAATATTATAAAGTAATAAATGTCATTTTTGTAGCTGTTTTCTTTGGTTATGCATTTTTGTTTTTTGTTTGTTTGTTTGTTTATAATTCATAAGTAACTCTTACCAGCCCAAAGATCCTCATTAATTTTAGGTTCTGTTAGGAGAAGAGAAGGGGTCCATCCCTGCAGATATCATGACTGACAGGGAAGTGGACTGCAAAGAGGTTAGAATGCAAACTGGTACAGCTGGATTGTGGGAGTCAGATGGAGATCAAATTTAGAGAAAATGGCTTAATTTTTTTACACATTTAGACACCATACAACTTTGGGAAAGTAGTTTCCGTGTGACAATTCTTATAACAAAGCCTTAGAAACGGGTACATTGCAATCCCCTTACAAAATACCCCACTATAGAAAAGTATCTCAGACCTTTATCATAGGAACAGGTTATATCGACTGTAATACATACAGTGCTTAGGGCTAGAGCCTGCATAGGAAGATTTAATAAGCCTAAGGTTGGATCCTACTGACGGAGGGTGCAAAGTACATGGGGTCTTTTTTATAAAGATGAGTTCTATTTTCTGACAGACAAAGCCCATGATTAGAGCCTAAACAGTTTTCAAGATTTGGGGCAAATTCAGGTGGCTGCTGCTCCTAACAGAATAGCAAAGGACCACCAGGTTGTTTGATGGGAATATTGAAAGCAGTAAAGGAAAAAGGTCAAGTAACATATAAAGGCAGACCTATCAGAATTACACCAGACTTCTCAACAGAGACTATGAAAGCTAGAAGATCCTGAGCAGATGCCACAGAGACCCTGAGAGAACACAATTATCAGCCCAGTCTATGATACCCAGCAAAACACTCAATTATGGAGAAACCAAGATATTCCATGACAAAATCAAATTTACAAAGTATCTTTCCACAAATCCAGCCCTACAAAAGACAGTAGATGGAAAACTCCAATACAAGGAGGGAAATGACACCCTAGGAAAAGGAAGAAAGTAATCTTCTTTAAACAAACACAAAGGAAGATAGCCACAAAGACATAATTCGACTTCTAACAACAAAATTAACACGAAGCAACAATCACCATTCCTTAATATCTGATACACATGTTAATAGTCTGATTATGAGGTAAGGTTGAAGCTAGCAATCAAAAGGGATCTTCACGGTTACTCAAGATATACTCTGAAATAGGGAAGGAAAGGATGGGCAGTCACAGCAGGTAAGAAAGCCCAATGGCTCTGCAGAAAAGGAATGTAGCTATGGTTATGGGATACATGACTTACTAGTGTGAAAATTAAACATGTCATCAATAAGAGATATCTGTGGTATATAGCTTGGATGAACCAAATAATTAGAAATCCATTGTTTAATACTGAGTAATTATCCAAAACCAAAGATAAAATCATGTAGGAGATTTTTTTTCTAACTCTGAACCCACATTTTGGCAATATTCTGAGGAGTTTTGGGAAGGAAAAGATAAAACATATATCAAGAAGGATTCTATCACAGAGGGGTTCTGGAGGTCATAGACCTAAGCAGAAGGTTCCTTTAAAAAATTGGGTATTAATCAAGGCAGAGACTCATACTTGGTCAAAGTGTTGAGAATAAAACGGAGTTCTCAGCCCTAAATGGGACATTTGTAACAAAACCCTTATCAAGTTCTGGACAGTAACCAAGAGGTGTGGAATAGGCTGTAATGCTTTGGGGAGAGGGTTGTGTGGTGCTGCTTTAAAAAAGGTAGCCTACACCTGGCAGTAAGCTTTTTACTTAATACTCAATAGTGCCTGGGGGTAGTTCTACTTAAACCCATTTTATGTATGTACATATATTACACGACATCCAATAGGTACAGAATATAGGGGTCTATTTCTTTGTTTCATATAGACTTCAAAAGGCAGTCAAATATTTCAGCCTGCTCTGGTTTCTACATAGACAGCATCACGTTTATACCATAAATGTATGCATAACTTGGCACTGGCTTTCAGTGGTCAAAACTGTGTGGCATTGGACCAGCAGACTGCATCAAAGCTCTAGGGAGCTGGTGCAACCAAGCTGAGACAGGGAAAACTGTGTGGCACTTGGCCAGCCTACTATGTAATACCTCCAGGAAGTCAGTGCAAGCTGGGGGAGAGGGCGTGGCTTCTGCATATTTGACACACTTCTGGGATTTAGGCCTGGAGGAGGTGATAGGAGGACAGAGGAAGAAGACTTGGGGCTGTGCATATGTGTGTGCATCAGTGTGGGTACATCAGTGCCAGCAAACGCCCTGGTGTGACACAAGTGTAGGGGCTAGAGCTGTAGATACAGATGGCACTGCACTGAAAACAAACAAACAAACAAACAAACAAAAAGTTAGTGGCTGCAAATCTGGGTCCCGATGGTGGCCCCCGGGACCAGGGTGGCACAAGTGCTCTAGGACTTGTGGGGACAAGGGAAGCCTTCGCAGGCATGGGCTCGCCTTGGCAGTCTGCCTGGGAAGATCTAAGGACTTTTGTGTCTGGGAAACCTCACTGCCTCCAAGGTGATGCCATTTGTTGTGGAAGGACAAATGGATAGAAAGTGTTCCCGGTGCTAATGTAAATCATTCATTTCAGCTCTGCCTGATAATCTTATTCCATTGAGTCTTAGGTAACTTAACAACATGTGGATTCTGGAGGGACATATATATTGAGCCCATAGTGGACATCAGAGCAATTGCAGAGTTAACAGATAATACTAAACATTCTTATTACCAGCAATTAGCAATTGGAATTTGGCATTTAAAACAATGGGTTCTTTTTTTTTTTTTTTTACTCTAAATGTGTCTGATTTACAATAAGGCAATAATATAACTTATTATTACAGTTTGTGAATCAACCATATATATACTACTGATGGGGGCAAACACATATATCAATAGAATTGAATACAGAAATTGAAAATAGATAGGATCACGGGGCTATTACATGATGACGTTGACTAAGACACCAAAGAAATTCAGAAGAAACTTTTACATAAATCACACTGGAGCAATAAGTCTTCAAGTACCAACAGAGGAAAAAGGCTGGGAGAGGGTGAGGTAGGAATCATTTTCAATGATAATTAATTTAAAAGTACCATAGATCTACATATAAATGATAAAATACTAAGCTGTGGGTAGTTCCACTTAAACCCATTTTATGTATGCACATATATTACAAGACATCCAATAGGTACAGAAGGCCATGTAAGGACAACAGAATAGTCATCACATCTAAAAGACAGTCAAGCAATTCTCATATTTAATACAGAGGATGGAAGCCAGAAACCTGGGAAAAACAAAGACTCTGTAATAATGAAAAGAGGCCCCAGCTTGATGGAAGATAAAAAGTAGCCAAACACATGAATAAACATTTCACAAAGAAGATGCAGAAATCAAGAAGTCACATAGGGAAACAGTAATTAAATATCACTGTCATCAATACACGGTATGTTCACATACAATAAATGCTCAACAAATATCATGACACCCCTATACACTAAAATAAAGTATGTTTGTAATCAGATTCACAAAATAGCTCAGTGGCTAATATAGAACTTGCCCCACACCGAATATCCTGAGTTCAGTGCCCAGGACTCACATAGTGATAAGAACACTGACCTCCCCTCTCCACATACACACCACTGTTTGTTCCTCACAAAGAGGACAACGAATAAGATGATGGTGTTGATGAGGATGATGATGATGATGATGAGGGTGATAGATTTTACTTAGGAGGAGATAGAGACTGGAGGGTTAGTACATTGCTAATTGAAAGGAAGAAACGGCACAACCACACGAGACAATTGACCCCAGATCAATGGCTGGGGATGTGCTAGGTCCTAGGGTGGAAGATGCCATGCTAGTTCTTAAACAGTCTGGTGGTCAAAATACCTTCTAAATATTTATGTGCAGGCCCATAGACCTAAGCAGAAGCTTCCTTTTAAAAATAGGGTATTAATCAAGGCAGAGACTCAGAGTTGGTCAAAGTGTTGGGAATATAATGGAGTTCTCAGCCCTAAATGGGACATTTGTATCAAAACCCTTATCAAGTTCTGGACAGTAACCAATTGGTGTGGAATAGCCTGTAATGCTTTGGGGGGAGGGGGTTGTGTGGTGCTGCTTTAAAAAAGGTAGCCTACACCTGGCAGTAAGCTTTTTACTTAATACTCAATAGTGCCTGGGGGTAGTTCTACTTAAACCCATTTTATGTATGTACATATATTACATGACCTCCAATGGGTACAGAATACAGGGGTCTATTTCTTTGTTTCATATAGACTTTCAAAAGGCAGTCCAATATTTCAGCCTGCTCTGGTTTCTACATAGACAGCTTATACTGTAAACCCATGCATCCCTTGGCCCTGGCTTTGAGTGGTCACAACTGTGTGGC